GTATAACCAAAATTAATTAAAATTAATTTTTATTTATATTAATTAATATTTATTAATATTAATTAATATTTATTAATATTAGCAATATTGATTTAAATTTATTAATAATTATTTATAATTAATATTAATCAGGGTTATAAATTAGAATAAGGGACAATAAGCTACCAAAACGCTATTCCAAGTAGCGTTTCAATAAGCTAACTTATTTGCATCCAAACGTATATCGATAAAATAAGCTAGCTTATTTTTAGCAAACAATGCCTAAGGTTGTGTTTGTCAATTTAGTTGATAAGCTAGCCGATGGCTCATAAGCTAATTGGTAGCCGATAAGCTTGCTGATGAACAAATCATGTTTGGCAAAAACTAGCTGACAAGCATGTAAAGTGACCGAAAATAGCATCTTTAAAAACTAGTCGATTACAATATCTTATAATATAATCAAAACAAATATTTAATAATATAATATATTAATATATATAATCCGGATGCAACACATTACACACGTCATTTTGAACTATTTTTATCAATATTTTATTCAAAACATGATTCAAATGAATGATTAACTCAGATTTATTTAGGTACCATCCTCATCCCTATATATATATACCACCAATCCGTTCGATCTTTTACTATCCCAGTACCGGCCCACACCTCTATATCGTTCATTCTTTTCTACCATACTCGCATCTATTTTTGCTATGGCTTCACCTTTATTCACCTCCAACCTCACGACTCATCATGTTTTTGCTCGCCCTTCTCATTCATGTAGAAAAACAAGATCAAATGGGTCTCAAAACCAGTTATATTCAACAAAATCCAATACCATAATTACCATGGCTGATCATGCAACTACTACTACTACTAATAAGCCACCTGTTGTTAGACGATCAGCAAACTATCCCCCTTCACAGTGGTCCTATGATTATCTCCAGTCACTCAACACCACCAACTATGTCGTACGTTAAGTTATTGAATAACCTCATGCATCAACTAATGACATATACTATGGCCGGCCCTGTGGGTGGGCAGTCCGGGCGGCGGCTTAGGGCATCCCAAACCCAAGGGCATCAAATAGCCAAATTCTAGTTATATATGCATTAAAAATTAAATAGAATTGTTACTAGAAAGATTTGAACTCAGGTCATCTACTATTATCAAGAGATTTTTACCAATGGATTGGAAATTATTTTGTTTCTATTTATCTATATCTTGGTTTTAATACTTCGCTCCCTATTCCCTATCTTCTTTTTCTTTTTTACTTCCGATTAATTTTTAAAGTTCATTTTTGTCTTGTTTTTACAACAATAAATATTTCTTTGAAATAAAATTAATATTTGTATAACTTATTATTTTTAGACGACCTTAATAATACTTGAAATATTATTGTTTTTGTTATGTGTATAATTTCGTCAAACATGTTTATTCAACAAATTGGGTGTGGATTTGTTGCTCGGTAAAGGGCATCTCATTATCACCAAAATCCCATTTTTATATCAATTTTACACCAAATAATGTTGGTGAAATGTATTACAAATTTGTTATTTAATATTTATGAAAGTTTGATGTCTATATAATTTTAATTTATTTGATTACAAATGTTATTTTAGTTATGATATTTATTAAAAATTATATTATAAATTATACTTATATTAGTTTATATATGATATATATGTATAAATAATAAAACATAAAAAATGACACACACACATGTGTGTGTGTATTAATACAAGGTTTTTCACCATTTTGTTGGAAAAAATTGTGCATATGTTTGGATATAGACTAACACATTTTCAACAGTTTTACAAAACGTAAAATGTATTTGCGTTTTTTTTTTTTTGTTGGGACATGTTTTAACGTTTCCGTCCAGGACATCAAAAAGCTTTGGATGAGCCCTGCTATCGTCCCTCATTCAAATCGTTTCATGGACAATATATTACTTATATATATATGATTTATTAAATACAACTTGTTTGTATGTGTCTATACAGGATGAAAAATGCAAGACAGCATCACAAGCTTTAAAAGAAACTGTGAGGACGATGATCTCTAATGAATCAGCAGCGGAGAACCCGTTGAGTACACTTGAATTAGTTGATGACTTGCAGAGGCTTGGAATATCATATCACTTCCAAGATGAAATAAACAATGTGTTGAAGACGATTTACAATTCCAACTAYSAAAGTCATGACAAGTGGAACGGAATGGATTTGAACCTGAAATCCCTCGGCTTTAGACTCTTACGACAACATGGTTATCGTATCCCTCAAGGTACCCACCTCTCATTTCTAATGAATTAATTCCTCTCTTGTTTCATAACAAAAAGAAGTTGTGAATGATTTATGATTTGTGGTCTTTTTATCGTTTAGAAATATTTGAGGACATCAAGGATGAGACAGGAAACATCAAGGCCCATATACGTGAAGACATTGTAGGAATGCTTAACCTGTATGAGGCTTCATTTCTTGCTACCGAGGATGAAAATATACYGGATGAAGCCAGGGAATTCACAACCAAATGTCTCAAAGAAAAGATGGAGAAGAAGAGCATTGTTGATGCAAGTATGTCGATGTTAGTAAGTCATGCCTTGGAGCTTCCATTGCATTGGACGATTCAAAGGTTTGAGGCAATATGGTTTATAGAAACATACAGGAGGAGAAGTCACATGAAACCCTTGTTGTTAGAGCTTGCTGAATTGGACTTCAACATTGTGCAAGAAATACACCAAGAAGATCTAAAGTACTCATCAAGGTATATTTGGAGTTTCTTAGAATTAAATGAGTTTTTCCAGGAGTACATAACTTGACATGTACACTTGGTATACGTATATATAGGTGGTGGAATCGTCTAGGTTGGGACAAGAAGCTGAGCTTTGCTCGAGACAGGTTGGTGGAGAGTTTTATGTGGTCTGTTGGTTCGCGTTACGAACCATCATTTGGTGTTGTAAGGAGAAACATCACAAAGCTTATTTCCCTAGTAAATGTGATAGACGATGTCTACGATGTATATGGTACTTTGGATGAACTCGAACAATTCACCCAAGTTGTCAAAAGGTAATTAATTAGTGTTTGGTTTGGTGCTAGTTTTTTGGTATATAATTCCATTGAGTGGCTTATAAACAGATGGGACATCAATGCCATGGAAGAACTTCCTGTTTACATGAAGATATGCTTCCTTGGATTCTACAACACCATCAATGAGATGGCATACAACACCTTGRCAGACCAAGAATCCCTTGTTATACCTTCTGTGAAAAAAGCGGTAGCTCGTCTATCCATCTTCATTTCTTCATTTAAATGTTGTCCAATTTATGATATAAGATGGTACTTTWATGTGCAGTGGGCAGATTACTGTGAAGCAAACCTGGTGGAGGCACGGTGGTTCAACAGCGGATACACACCAACGCTTGAAGAGTACTTGAACAACTCGTGTATTACCATTTCAGTTCTTGTAATAATTTCAAATGCYTATTTCTTCGCTTCAAGKGATGACGAKATTAATGCTAACGACGCCTTGCRCAACGTACTTCACTTGTCTGCTATGATTTTACGTCTTACTGATGACCTGGGAACATCATCGGTAATCTTTCTTCATACGTKCTAGARAGCTGCTTACATACATATAGATATTTTACTTTGTTAATTTTGATCAGGCGGAGCTTAAAAGAGGTGATGTTCCAAAATCAGTGGAGTGTTACATGCATGAAACGGGTGCTYCTGAAGAGAAAGCCAGGGAATATGTACACAAGTTGATCATCGAGACATGGAAAAAGCTAAATAAAGAGAAAATGGCCCTCAAAACTCCATCTTCTCGCATATTTGGCGAATGTGCAGCAAATCTTGGCAGGATGGGGCACTTTACGTACCAGCGTGGGGATATATTTGGTTCGCCAGATGATCTGTATAAATCTCATGAAATTTCCTTGCTTTTTACTCSCAAATAAGATCCTAGCTAGGGGATCGTTATCCTTTAATTTGAGTTCTACCCGCCCCGCCGCTTATATGATGTTGATGAATTTTCAAAATAAGGTTTAAAATCCAAGTGTTTTTGAGTTGAATGTCCTGGCTAGCGGGAAAACTTGAGTTGTTACTTTGATATGAATAAGGATATGTTTTACAAACTAGCTGATGAACTAGTCGTGTTTGCTAAATGCTAGATGACATTGTTGAATGACTTAAAAGGATATGTTGGAAAAAAACGTAAGGGGAATAATTAATTTGGAAAAAGAAGTGAATAAGAACCGTGGAGCTTATTGAAACGTTACATAAAGTAGCATTTTAAAAAGTTAGCATACGGTTAACAATTTGGGATTTTTTCAATAGGCTAAAAAAATATGTTAGCTTATAATTGCCAAACATGGCCTAAATGGTTGGCATGCAGTGGCGAGGAAAAGACGCTTGAAACCAACATCATCAATAATTCCCTTTTAAATATATATGTAATTAAATCTTCAGATTATTTGGAAAAAGAGGACGGAACCCCTTGGAAATTTTATCCAAAAAACAAACCACTTACAAAGGAGAAGTAGACATGAACATGTACCAAAATGCTTAGGGAAATAAACTAAAAAGAGGCCTAACAAATTGGCCAAAAACAATTTTAAAACCCCATCTCAACTCAAAAATCAAAAAGAAATTCCCATGGGAGCCCAAATCCCCATCAGCAGCCCAAGAAAAAAAATTTGAAGGCCCAAATTCTAGAGCAAAAACCATCATAGAAAAGGCTAATAAAAAAACCAATAAAAGCCCAATCAGTACAATCAACATTCAATAAAGCCCACAAGCCAGGCCTTAAAACCATCAGCCCAAACCATTTTGGCCTATCACCTCAATTTATTGTTTAATAATAAATAATTTATTAAATTCTAAATATTAGACGTTGTTTGATAATAAATAATTTATTAAATTCTAAATTTACGGATAATTATTTTTCTTACAGCTCTTTACACTTCATAAAATCAACCATGTTTAAGTACAAGGTGATTATTAAACTCTATCGATACCACAAAATGTTTCTTTATCCACATATAAAAATTCATTATTAAAACTAAAATTAAATTACATATTTATTTTCAATATTAAATATCTAAATTATAAAGTAAATCAATAAATTATGTGAAAATAACGTGAATTTTACAATATTTAATTTGACGTTAACATCGATATATTTTTTGAAGATCTTTATTAGATCTTCAAGACATGGTCGATCACTACCTGTAATTTCTATTTTATTCATGCATTGATTTCGAATTTTCTTTTTTATAATGAGAAATTATTATTTTTTTCGGTTTATAATAAAATATTGCATCATTCCATAGCACGAGTATACAACTTGTATCTAGTCAAGGTTGATTCTAACCTGATTTTTTTTTTCTACGAGCCTAATATAACAAATTTAAATCAGTTTTGCGGGCTTGTTACTTGCTAGTATCGGCCATATAAACAGGTTGGGGCTTGCTCTTGGGCTAACGTTCCTAAAAATATTTTACATTTAGAAAAAACCTTATATAAAATCACAATTGTGTATAACCATTTAAAATTGCTTACTTTTTTCCAATTTAAAAAAAGACGTAAAAACATAACTATGTATATGATTTAAGAAAACAAAATAGCTTCACATATGCATATAGTATATATTTTGGAGGTGGTTGGTACTCGATAGGTGAAGTCTAGCCCAAAGCTAGTCAACTAGGATCTTAAAGTTTTTTTTTCTAACAAAGAAGTATCAAATTGTAATTATATATAAATTTTAATTAATTACAAATCTATAAACAGTCCGAATCAGTTTGTCTAGGAATTTTTTTTAAACGTCCAAATCCGACCATTAGTTTTAACAGTTCCGTATGAACCCAAAATATTTATAAAAAAATAGATGTTTAAAACATGGGAATGTCCGCATGTTTTAAAATGAATATTTTGTAAAGGACATACAAATATGTCTTCTTATTTCTAGAAAAATGGACAAAGTCTTCAAGCTTGGTGGAGTGACGAATGCAATAATGGCATGTCAAATTATAATGCGTGTCACACATGTATTTCAAAAACGATTAATCCTTTGAATTAAAAGTAAAATAAAAAAAATACCATCATCACAAATGTTTCAAGCATATGAGTATTGAAACTTAGTGAGCATCATATAACTTAAAATGAGAAAATTATATATAATACATAATATATTATGATGTGTAATTATGAACACTTTTCAAGTAGCATGGGGTTGCAAGTCTTGATAAAGAAATTAAAATTGATTGATGATATAAAGAGAGTGGCATGGTATCACTACATGTGTGTGTGATGGGGGGTTGTTAATTTAGTTTTAAAACAAAAAGGGCATTTAAAAAATTACATTTTTATCCCTTTTGAGTGACTATCAAGAACCAAATGCATTAACATTATAATGGAAACTAGAATAGCTTGAGATCATATACCCCACTATGCTTAATGCTTGGCATTTAGAAGGGTAGATTGGTAATCATCCATTATCATGATTGTGGGTGTACTTCTAAGGCACTCCTAGTCCCCCCCTTGGGATCTAATGACAATCCTCTGTTTTTCCACATTAATACATACCATTAACTAATCAAATTTAAATAATTATAAGCACATACAACACAAGAAATATGTATTAATGAAGAAGGTCAAGAGTTTGAACAATAAAAGCAAATTAAGCTGCAATGAATGAATATACGGTTAAAAGGTGAACCAAAGAATCACAGGCCCACCCACCAACTAAACCCCCCACTGCACCTCTTTATAAAAACCCTTCTCTGTTTCTTGTTCAAAAATTTCCGTTCGAAATATATACATATATATATATACATATAAGAACATCGTTGACAAAGGTTTATTCTCAGGTGTCGGGCTGCAGACCTCTGAAGATTTCAAGAAAAGCTGAAAACAAGAAGCAAGATCAATGATGGTTAATGATACTTTCACTGCAAAATGGAGGTGGGTCCCACTCTTTCTCTCTCTCTCTACTCTCTCTCATCTGTGAGATTATAAGCAAAATACGGATGTGGGGTTTTGATTTCAGTGACAAAAGAATGGAAGAAGATGAAGGTCTGAGGACCGTAGAGTGTTTAAGAGGCAGATTACTTGCAGAAAGAGCAGCTTCTAAAGCTGCTAATGAAGAATCTGAACAAATTGCCAAAAAGGTTTGGTTTTTACACATTCATTGTGTGTGTTTCAATCTTCTCTAATCCCAAAACGAGACCCAATTTCTGTTTTCACACACTCCAACGTGTTTCGTTGTGTTTCTTTACTGGCATTTGTGATCTTGATATGGGGTTGAAAATTTCAGGTGATTGAGCTTGAAAAGCAGTTGAAAGTGGAGATCAAATCAAGAAACAAAGCTGAAAAGAGGCTTAAATTCTTGATGAAAAAGCTTGAATCTTTGAAGATATCATACGTTTCAGCAGATGAATCTTCAAGTTTTTCTGAAAAAAGTGAGATTTCATCAGTTTCATCGTCTTCTAAATCTCAAGATCAGATGGAGTTGCAGAAAACCCAATTCAGAAACACTTCAAAATTCAGCACAGAAGGCAATAGACGAAGTTGCCCTTCACAAGAAGAGAATTTGGGGTCTGTAGATGAGTCCATTTCTGGGAATTCCAATGAGAATGTGATTCAAAATGATGATGATGATGATGATGATGATGATGATGATGAAGATGATGCTGTAAAGAAAGATGGGTATGTTTCTTGAATTTAGAAGACATTTAAATTTAAATGATGTTTTATGAAAATTCATAATAATGTTAAATAATTAGTAGATTTTATGTTATGATTGCTAATTATTTTTAATAATTATTTATTCAAATTTCAAAAAACCAAATAGAATCTTGCCACGTCCCTTTTGTTTCCTTTTTTCATGTTTTTTTGTTCATAATCTTTTAAAATTTTAGATTTAAATTGAATTCAGTTTCCACCCATATATAATTTTACTATAAATTAATTATTATATTTGATAAAATATGAAATAAAAAAATATATTAGACCATTGTAGATTGTGTGAACTTTGTAGTTTAGTCACAAACTAAATATTAAAAACCCTTGGTTCATTCTCACAAATTTAGGATGTGTTTGAAATTGTTTATTTGAAATAATTTATGTTTTTTTTTTACAAAAGTATTTATTAATTTATTATAAGTTAGAAGGATTTAACTTCTACAAAAACTTCTTGTCCCTGGTTTGACACTCATATAAGTTATTTATCCAAACACTCAAAAATGTTTATTACCAATGTCATACAGGAATAAGTTGATAAGTTGTTTTTATAAGCAATCTCAAACACCCCCTTAATGGGTTTTTAAATTTTCAAAGAACAGATCAAAAAATTCATTTTTTTCAGATAATTTCTTTGAATTTGAAATACAAAATGCAATTGTTTTTAGGCTAAGGAGTTGTTTGATTTTGCTTATAAAAATAGTTTATTGATTTATTTTGGTGTGGTCTCGGTAATAAACACTTTTGAGTGTTTGGATAAATAGTTTATACCGATTTCAAACCGGTAATTAGGAGTTTTTGAAAAAGTTAAATCATTCTACTTATAATAAGTTGATAAAAACTTTTGTAGAAAAGCATAAGTTGTTTCAAATAAGCAATCTCAAACATTGTTTGTTTGATATATTTTTTTATTTCTGAAAATATATTTTTATTTGATTATATTTTGCCATATGTATCTCATAATTTTACATTTTATTTTTGAAGTTGAAATTGATTATATTTTTACTTCAAATTTAAATTCTAAAATCAAAACACACATATAAAAAAAATGAATTTTAACAAATATAATTATAAAATGAAAAATAAAAAGAGGTTCAAAACTGTTTAAGTTTAATCTTTTTTAATTTAACATTGTTTAATAATTCTTATTAAAATTTTGATGAGAGTCATTTAAATTCTCTTTTAAAATTCGTAATTTGTAATGGTTTTCGGACAATTTTTCTCATATTTTTTTAACTTCATTTACTAGGTTGAAATTTTCAGTTACAAAGAACAACATTAATGATGAAGGACACAATACTGAAGACATAGACGATAATGTTGATAACTCAATGGCGTTAACGATTATGACATCAGAGCATGATACAGATCGTGACGATGGCTTTGACAACTCCATGGCATTAGTTGTGGTTGAAAATGTGATAAAAGAAGAGAAACAAGATGTGCCGATTTCAAACGGTAATGTGAAAGACGTTCTTCATGCTTTAAGGTATGCCAAAGAAAGTCTTCAAAGATCATTGGCGATGAGACAACATCTCAGATCAAACATTGCTTGTGGTAGATTCCTGTTAGATCTAAAACCTGGAGTGATTTAAGAAGATCATGACTCTTTAAATCTTAAAAAAGTTCAAGAAAGAAATCGTTATACATGTTATTTATAGTTACACGAAGCCTACCTAAGTTTGTTAACAGAGCATTTTGCTTTTTGCATTATCCAACTATATGTGTACTAGCTGTCTACGTGTGTAATGCAGCAAGATTTAAAAAATTTATTATAAACCGAGAATGAAAACTCGGTGCAATTCCTCACAATTTTATTAATATATTGTATTTGGTGCAAAACGATTTATTAATGTTGGAGAAAAATCACACAAAAATTCGTGGAAAGTTTCATAACAATCCGATATGATTTGAACGATTTCAACGACCCGCAAGACGCAAGTTCTGTAGGTTGGGCTCGAGCTAGACCCCGAAAACTTCTTGTTTGAAAAACTTTTTTTTCATGATACAAAACAATTTATTAACGTCATAAAAAATGAAATGAATGTTTTATAATATAATAAAGATATATGATCGTAAAAGTCACAAGTAAATGAAGAACTTCATTGAACCTAAATGAGCATATCACAAGGGACACATGAGTCATGGTACCCTTGCAGGTGGTTAGTTGTGCAAATAACACATGTACCCATGTCGGCTTATTGTACAACCCTATAATGCATTCATTCAATCGTTACGTCATCTTATAAAAATGGTCACGAGAATTTACTAAGAGTGTCTCCAATAGCTTTTTTAAAATAAAGAATGAAATTCTAAAATCTTTAAAACAAAAATACGTTCATCTTCAATAAAATCTCTATTTTGAAGTTTACAACATTGTTTATATCATTAAAATATTTCATTCATCTAAATATTTGATTTTAAAGTTTCCCGTTGATAGAAATATATTAATAAATATTTTTCTAATTGTATCATTTTTGAAGTGTTCTCCAAATTTAGAGATTTTTACAGTTTCTCTCGTACTTTTTACATTTTGAAAACATATTCTTAAGTCTTTGTTTTCTTCATGTTGATCCGTTGAAGTTGTTCTAAAAATTTAAATATTTTATTATTATAAAAAAAAAATTTGAATTGAATGGTATTGAAAGCCAAAATAATAAATTGTGCACGTGAGCTCCCGTGTGGAGTTATTTCCAAAGCCATTGGATTCGATAAATGTGGCATCAAATGTATTGTACTTTTTGCATATATGTTTGTACCATGCCCCAATCCTATCAATATTATTATTGGGTCACTCATATGAATGGAATATGTTGTCTTTGTTTCACTTATTTAATGTTTTTATCCCTAAGCTTGTAAAATTTATTGGGTCTTAGAAATGAATTTTCGGTAATTTTTAAACGTATTATCTACTAAAGACATGCTCGAATAAAAAAGACAAAAATGTTGATTACATAAAACTAATTGATTCATGTGTGAATAACTAGTAAAAGAATCGAGTTTTAATATATATTATTATATGTGAATGATTGGTAAAAAAACCAATAGATAAGCGAATATGGATTTCAATAATATATTATTTTTACAATTTTAAATGATTTTTACAATTTAAATGAAGCCGATCCAATCGATTGATATAGGGTCCAAACTTTTTTTGTCTGTTGTTATGGTACAAATTGTCATGTTTAGTTCTTTCCACCTTCATATCACATGCCTTCTCGATGTGGTCACCCCTCATTGTAACCTCCTTTTCAGGTTACTACTCCATTCAATTGCTGCATTAAAAAAATAAGGGTGATGCAACTCTTTACATTACAATCAAGTTTAATCGTGCGATAGAAATATAAAAAATAAGTTTTGAAGTATATAATATTTATATGGGAAAATTGTACCAAAATGGAACCAACTTTTACATGATTCCTATTTTGGGGAACGAACTTTCAAAATCGTCATTTTGGGGAACCAACTTTCACCTGATTCCTATTTTGGGGAACCAACTTTCAAAATCGTCATTTTGGGGAACCAACTTGCACCTAATTCCTATTTTGGGGAACCAACTTTCAAAATTGTCATTTAGGGGACTCTATCAAACTTTTTGTTTATTTAAGGGTCTGATTGATCTGTTGAACAGGTAACAGATAATTTAAGGGTCTCTATCAAACTTTTGGTTGGATTTGTCAAATTTGATTTAAACTTTAATATTGACACAGATTGRTTAGATATAAAAATCTTGAATGTGATATTTAATATTTTTTTTATTGCATCAATTAATTTTTTTCTATTAAATTGATTTTTTTATTGCATTAGTAAAAAATAATTTTTATCGTAGTAATTTGGATTTTTTTCGAAAAATCTTCAATTTGATATCTGAATTTAAAAAACGAGATTTGAAATAAAAAAAATAGATTTTATTGCATTAATTTTTGAAAAGAAATGAATTTTAGTTATTTTTCTATAATTATTTTGCAAGTTGGTTTCCCAAAATAGGAATCAGATGCAAGTTGGTTCCCCAAAATGACGATTTTGAAAGTTGGTTCACCAAAATAGGAATCAGGTGAAAGTTGGTTCCCCAAAATAAAAATTAAGTGAAAGTTGGTTCCCCAAAATGACGATTTTGAAAGTTGGTTCCCCAAAATAGGAATCAGGTGAAAGTTGGTTCCCCAAAATAAAAATCAAGTGAAAGTTGGTTCCCCAAAATGACGATTTTGAAAGTTGGTTCCCCAAAATAGGAATCAGGTGAAAGTTGGTTCCATTTTGATGCAATTTTCCCTATTTATATATAGTAAATAGAACAAATAAACTTATACATTCTTCTTATATTTTGCTAGGCCAAAGGCCTTTTGGTAGGTAGGCGTATATATAATATACATATATATGTATATAGGAGATATTTACATAAATAGCCAAAACTGATAGATAGTTCCATTTTTTAGCCATATTATAGGCCAAATTCACTTTTTATTCATTATGGAGAAGGCTTACACATGTGTGTAAGGATTGGTTTTCAGGCAACCGACAGACTGAAATTCTTACGCAGAAAGTGGAATCCTTACAGAAGGCTTATACATATGCATAAGGATTCCACTTTGTCGTAATGATTTTTTTGCTTGAAACCCAATCCTTAAGCTTATGTATAAGCCTTGTGCATAAGGATTGGTTAAATAGTGAATTTAGGTCAGAAAATAGCTAAAAGTGAAACCCTATTTTCTCATTTTTTATGTCAATTTCCTTATTTAGGAGTAGATTTAGCCCATCCCTAAAATACAGGACAAGGCGTGGGAAAATAGGGCTTATTTTTGTTGGATTAATATTTTGGAGAATTTTTTTTAAATATTAATTTAATGATCTGTAATTTGAAAAATGTCTATTTTAATACCTCTAATGTTGATATGAAATCGATAAATCTTGACATAATTTTGAATAACTTTTTCAATCTTTAAATGGTAGTTGAGGTTATATATTCTAAAAATAAGAATTGAATGAAAATACATTTCGTTTTCACACATTTTACCTTACAAGATCACATTAATAAAATTAATCAAAAACCTTCTCTTTTGTTATTTTTACATGTGAGTCGGTGTGACCGGTTAAGTTAGCGACAATCATTGAATCATTTATCAATCCCATGAAATGAGAGGCCACGAGTCTAATTCCATTTGAATGGTATCAACCCATGTGGGAGCCCAAGCAACGGGACGAAGATGTTTGTCTTTGGGTCTTATCAGGTAAGTATTTACCAACAAGAGTAACAATCTTGACTTACATTCTCAACCACAAAAATGGATTGTTGATAAACGTATCTTATTATGATAAACACTAACCAAGTAAAAGTCTTATCCTTCACTTAATGGTAGGTAAGACTATTGATCTTACAAGGTAAGATTCATGGTCCTGATCATACTCACCCAATAAAATAAGTAATACACAATAAACAACTCATTACATTTAGTTTTGAAGCTAAAGGGTATTTGATTTTTGTGTAATATGCTTTAATGGACCTAATGGTTTAATCATCCTGCCGTTTACCCATTTATCGAATTCCTTTTTACTTGAAAAACACCCTTTACCCAATCCATTGCCCACATACACTACTTTTTCATCCCTCGTTAAACCTTCAGCTATACATGGGTTGAGCTGATTGGGCGAAAGCATTTAAAAACCAAATCCAATGCTTATGGTTTGGAAAATCTCAACTCAATCCAGCCCAAGCAAAAGTACAACCCAATTCAATCCAAATCATATAGATTGGGTTGGTCGAGTTTGAACTTTGGTACATCATCTGTTAATCTAACTAAGCGTTTTGTTTAAACCAAGTAAAATTAAAATGAGAACGTACAAAAAGACTAACTTAAAAAAAGTTAAAAGTTCATGCAAATAAGAAAGTAAAACTACGATTGAAAATTGTAATATAATTTTAATTACAGCTAATTGTAGGTTGGTTTAATGTCTAACATACACATTAATGAAGAACTTTACAATCATATTAAATTCCTAGTATAGAAAAGTTCATCAGATTATGTTAGGATTCAAATTACCCTAACTCAATTACAACCCAATAGATTTATTTTAACCTAATTTTGTATCAACTATATATATCGAGTTACCTCAGGTCGAGTTTCTTTTGGTTTTTTTGGGCGGGGTTGATTGGTTTTTCTAGCACCCCTACTTCAATCAGCACTAGTTTGCACATTGTCTTTATGCCTCTATCATCAAAACTAGAAAATGCAAATTTCTCAAAAAGCTGATTCATGGTGAAGAAGCCTTCCTAATGGTCCTATATTTCTATTGTTTAATTTGAAGTTAAGTAACTTCATACAAATGTCTTAATGACTAATTAAGCACTCATCTCACATTCAATAACATCCAGACAAAATGTCAAATTTTATGCCATCCAAACTATCTATTTGATCTTAATTCGTACAGTCCACAAATTCAATCATGGCTTAATGAAAAGAAAAGATCCCAAACAACCCTCACCCTGAGGCCATATATAAAGTTACTTGTCACAATGTTGAGCCACATGACCCATGGCCAGTAGACAAGTGATGTTACTTGGTTTTCATCTTCAACCATCTCAACAGATGGTATTCAATTTCACAGTCAAAGGAGGGATCATGCAAACAGCACAAGTAAGATAGCAAGCAAGTTATGAACAACCCTGCTCTTTCCAAAACAATCCAGTAGAGTTTACATTAAAACAAAAACACAACCCAATTGTCATTTTAACCCAATTAACTATATGGTGCTTCCCTCCCTCTGTCTCCTACTTTAAACACCTGACCTGTAACAGCAGCAGCAGATAAAACAGGCATCCCCCCCACCAAACAAAACTAATAACAATCTCCGACCACCCAAACTTACATTCATTCGACATAAAGGACCCTTTTGCAAGTAATCAATCACTTCATCATCTACCCTTCTTATACAGTATCACAATCCTATTAGATAAACGATTCCGACCAACATAAAACATATTTCTCCAAGTTGTACTAGTAAGTAAATTCCACATCCTAACATCACCTCATCCATGATTCTTGGTATACACAAAATGATATAAATTTACCTTTACCTGAAGATGTACCAAACGATTCCTCAATATACGTTTTTAACTGCACCACACCATTGTTGAAGATGTAAGCAAAACATTTCGAGATATTTCACCAAAAATCATGGACTTGATGATGCTAGACTGCCATTTACCGGTTTTTTTATTGAAATGACATAGAAAAGTGAGCATTGCCTGGATGATAACTAAAAATAAAAATCAAAGACAACTTAGGTACTAGTTAGTTCTTGTTATATCATGTCCCTACAATCTAACACGAATTCACCATTTCATAACTATAACACTTTTTTATATCCTTATCAGTTCATTAAGTTTTGGGTGACACCAAGGAGATTGCTATCAATTAAGTCGGGGCACACCAGCTTTATCATACTTACTGCACCTGATATGAAAGGAAGCACCATCTAACTCCAAAATAAACAAAGGTTCATGTCATGGGTATCTTTACGAGTTGTTCTTGATCAAAAGATTACTAATTCTGACCTGCCAAATGAAACCATAGTTAAAACCACATCAACAAACCAAATTTATGGCAACTCAAAGTCAATAGACAATGTAACGTCTTACTGCAAAAGACAAAATGCAGGCCCTCAAGCCTCTCCACCTGCCTTGCCAGCAATGGTCGCCTTCTGTTTAAATAGGTGGAATTAATAGCTGATAGAACAGCACATAAACATCTTACAACTTACAAAAGCACAAGTACACAAGGACCTACCTGTTCAATTTTTCCATTGCCATTCGTCTGTGTTCCTGAAAACCTGTAAAATAACTATTCAGGCTATTGCTCAAAATAAAATGTCTCCAAATTCTACCATGACCGTAATTGCACAAGAAAATCCCTAAATTAAAACTCTACAGGACCAGTATTGTTGATAAAGTACAGTACATACCTTAGGGCCCTTGCTTTCTTTTTCTGTTCTTCCAGAGGATCAGTAGCACCTGAAGCTGATCCAAACCTAGAAAGTCTAGCCTTCTTCTTATCATCTTCCTCTGTAGGTGTCGATTGTGTGATCCCAAATCTGAGTGAGCAACAGAGTATATAGTCATCACTAAATAATAAATCAACAATGAGTCGTAAATGAAAATAAGAGCCTATTAAATTTCTGGTAAATTTAATATTTAACAATGCAGGGACAAGATGTATGCTGTCAACAACCTCTCCGCTCTAGCCTTCCTTTTAAGCTCCTCAGCTTTCTTTGTGGTATCCGATCCTTGTGAGCCAGGTGCAGTACCAAACCTGAAGTACAACAGGTCCTAACTTGATAAGTTCAGATCATTCATCACATTTTACAATCACAATAACACCATAAGCACTCAACATGCAGCCAGACACTGAAATAGTTCAAGCAAAGGATGGAGATAAAAACCACAAGTTACACACATGCATATACATGGCGAGAGGGTTACAACTTTGCACATGTCAGTACATAACATTAGCAACATCATTAAGTATGCAGTTAGTAGACCAACATACTGTTCATCTATATGTCTCTAGAACGTACCAAAACACATAATGGTCCTGAAAAATAAGTGTGTCAAGACTCAGGCATCTAGTGAAAAGCTACATCGGATTATATCAATAACTGGACACCCTGGTCAAATATTATAACGTTAAACTTGAAGCATCGTCATAACATCTAAACCTTATACAACAAAAAGATAACGGAAGTTCTTTATAACTCTTAAACCAATGATTCGTCATTATAAACCGTTTCCGTTAACATAACAGAAATGAAAGGAATATGGTGCAGTCACATAAGACTTAAAAGTTGTGGTCGAATTAAAGATCTAATTATATAATCATGATACTACAATATCACAATATACCTTTAAGCTTTTGAAATCAATTCCATGTACTTCAATTACTAAAAGACACTTTTCCTATACCGTCAATAGCTTCTTATATTGTATACTAAAACGTATATGATTGTGAAGGAAGAAAAAATGAAAGCAATGAATGTATTTGGTCCTTTCTAAACTTTTACCAGGCCTCTATCAATGGTATACAGCCTATCTTAGTCTTTTCTTGCCTATAAGAACCAAATCAAGAGCAAAAGTAAACATATATTTTGGACATATGTAACATATATAATGAAACTTAAATGCAGCCTAGAAGTCCCGACCCAACCAAAGGGACTTTGGCCTAGCGGTATCGTAGCCCTTAGCCTTCTAGGAGGTCAGGGGTTCAAACCTCACCATAGGTGAGGAGGGGGTGTGAGTTTATTTGTTACATTTGCCGTATATAAATATTATATACTTCAAAAAAAAAAGTCCCGACCCATAATCATAATAAGTCAAAAGCATCGACTATTTTAAGTACATTCAAAGAAACAATGATTGGCACATACTGGAACTGTACTTGAAAAAGATGATAAAGTTTTGAATATCTTATTCCTGTAAAAACAAAGATCACAACAAATACAACTTTCTGATTGACTACACAAAATATGGCATACACAAAAAAAGTTTCTGCACTACAAGGTAATGGATTTGATTCCTTCTAAAGACAAAGATCACAACAAACATGACTTTCAAATCGACTCCAACAGATACATCTATCAAGTAAGGAATACAAACATTTTATTAATAAAAACCATTATACCATACAATCTTGTAAAGGATTGAATGCTCTTTTGTAAGTGACTCGTTGAGAAGACAAAGTTAGACAAGCATTTTGACATTTAACACCCCAAGAAACTATTTATAAACAATTAGTAACAAGAAGAGGGCACAGAAGAAAGCATAGACTAAAAAAAGGAAAGCAAATCATGGAAGCACCAGAAAACTAAAATCAGAACATGCATATCATACTACCAATGGCCATAATGATCATAGGTGGTTTCTCCAAAAAATCAGTACACAAACAAAAACGCAAGCAGATATGACAGCATCAGTAACACGAAAAAAATCCATAAACCAAATATTCTGGTACGAAATTTAAACCCTAGTCACAATCTTTATCATAATAATCACTCAAGCAGGCATAAAAATAGGAAACCGAGAATGAAATTGGTGGGAAGCGGAAAGTTATATGGCTTCTACAATAAAACCTAATATAACGGCACGAAAGTTAAACCCTAGTCCTAAACTTAATCCTAACTTCTGAGGTAAAATAAATGGCATAAAATCGTTTCGATGTGTATAAAAACCACAACCCCGGCTTCGCATAGGAGAAGATATAGAAAAAGAGAATAAATATTGCAGCAGTATGATCACCTCTCTGCACGAGAATTTCGTTTTTCTTCTTCAGACAGCTGAACCGGCATACCAAACCGCTCCGCACGGCGAATCTTCCTCTGAGTATCGTTAACAGAAGCACCGTTTTCACCGTTGTTGCTATTACTATTGTCGGGCGTCACCGTCACCGGATCTTGAGTTTTCAACTTGGTTTCTCCGGAATCAGCGTCTTTCTTTTCGATGGAGGAAGCTGGCGATTTGTCGCTGGAGACTCCTTCGGCAGGAAGCGGGTCTAGGGTCTTTGCAGGATGGTCGTCTGTCTGAATCGTGGTGGCATTCGATGGCGCCGTCGTCATTGAGTCCAAATGGTTCGATTTCTACGACAGAGAGATGAATGATGATGGATGATTTATTTGCCCTAAATCCTAATGTGTGATCACCCCGTCGCCACTATATTCTCAGCTTGGGGTTGTTACTTACACAATTGAAAACATAGGGGACCAAAGTGTAAATTTCAAAACCCCCCCCCCCCTTTTTTTTTCTTTTTCTTTTTCTCTTTTTGCCAAAACATATAAAAAGTCATCATAAATATACAAGGGGTGTTTGAGAGTGCTTATAGCTGTTTTTAAACTTGTTTTAGTCTGACATCGATGATAAGCTGTTTTCTAGTGTTTGGATAAGAAAAAAAACTGCTTATACCGATGTCAAACCGGTAATAAGCTGTTTTTGATAAGTTAATCCTTCTTGATTTATGAAAAACTGTTTATTACCAGTTTACAATTTTAACCATGTTTTATTTAACTCCAATTTAATACCACATAAGTTAATAAGTATTTTTACAAAAAAAGCATAAGTTGTTTTAAATAAGCAATCCCAAACATCCCATAGACGATAGTATCTTGTTAACAAAACATCTATAACATATATGAGAGAGGAAGTATGAATCATCAACGTATTAAAAAATATAGTTTATGAAGAAAAAAAATTTAACTGAAAATATGTCTAGTTTAATTGAAATAATAGAATGTTGAATTAATTCCATTTCTATAAAATATATAAAGATAAAGTTAAATATCTACATTATATTATAAAGCATTTGACATAAACTCTTAAAAACCATTTTTTATGTATAAATTACTGTTTATTTATGCATATTACCTAAAATTCAAGATTACAAGTAATTTTACGTAAGTACAAGTTATTAAAGCTTTATTTTTAAATTCGTGTAACTAACTGCAGATAAACATAATCAAATACAAGATAAACATCTATTTTAAGTATAGAAAATCTAAAATAATCATTACATTTTAACATAATGTTAATTATTATCTTTATAAAAAATTATATTATTATTAGACCTAAATTAAATTATAATAAAAAATTGAATTAAAGAAGTTACACCAAAAAAACGAGAACTATTAAATAGTTAATTTGATATTAATATCGATTTTATTTTTTTCAAATTTGTATGCTATCTTTAAATTTATTATTTCATTCAAAAATAAAAATATTATCGTTTTTTTAAAACCATATAAAATTGTACTATATCGATAGAGACAAAGAATAAAAACTAAACATTAAAATGAAGATTTATCTCGCCGCATTACGCGAATACACTTCTAGTAAAATATTAAAATACGATGTAATTAAAGGTGATTTCAGACATAGATCTGTGTGATTTAATAACGGGAAGGTCATAAAAACCTAACAAAGTTTTTTATTTTGAATTGTTTATGTTTTAAATTTTTTTTTGAATGAAAAAGTCATAAAACATTTTACTTTTGAGTGATTAAGTATCTGAACGTTTTTTTGAATGAAAAATAAAAAATAAATTTTCTCTTTTAAAGCTACATATTTGAATTTGTGTAATTAACTACAGATAAACATAATTAACTACATGATAAACATCTCATTTTAAATATAAAAAATCTAAAATATAATTAGGATAATTATTTTGTTATACTTATAACGAAATACTTAATTATTATTTTTTTAGAAATTATATTATTAAAYCAAAAATAAAATTACTTCATTATTAAACATAAATTAAATTATAATAAAAAAATTAATTAAAGAAATTACATAAAATACAAGAATTTTTAAATAGTTAAGTCAATGTTAATATCAATATTTTTTTTAAATTGTTATGAATAAAAACATCATTGTTTTCTTAAATTCACATAAAACCGTATTATATCGACAAAGACAACAAATAAAATGAAACATTCTCTCAATATATATATATATATATATATATATATATATATGTATGTATATACTAGGTTCGATCCCGTGTATTACACGGGATAACTTGAAAAAATTAAAGCATGTCAGAAACTTATCTTACAGATATGAATGATCATCGAAAGTACGAAGCTACTTCAAACTTGTACTCTTGAAATAACTCTGAAATATAACTGTACATGAGTTTATTTTGATACAGAGTGCACACTTGTACTTTATATTTTAAATTTTTTTCTAGATACATGTTTAGGCCTTTATCTTCCTTAGAATACAACACAGGTTCTGTATATGAGACACCTAACTCTTGAGTAAGACCTTTGTCTCTTGATGTATTCTACATGAGAGCTCTTGGTCCAGCCCCCTTCAAAAGACTAAGTCCTAAGGACTACACTAAGAGGCTCTGCATGTACAGTAAGAGCTATGCATGCACAGTAAGAACTCTTACTGTACATGAGTTTATTTTGATGCAGAATGCACACTTGTACTTTATTTTTTAAAATTGTTTCTAGATACATGTGTTAGGCCTTGATCTTCTTTAGAATACAACACGGGCTCTGTATATGAGACACCTAACTCTTGAGTAAGAGCTCTGTCTCTTGATGTCTTATACATGAGAGCTCTTGGTCCAACCCTCTTCAAAAGACTAAGTCCTAAGGACTACACTAAGAGGCTTTGCATGTACAGTAAGAGCTCTGCATGCACAGTAAGAGCTCTGCATGCACAGTAAGAGCTATGCATGTATAGTAAAAGCTCTTACTGTACATGAGTTTAGGCGGGAAAATTATTTTTTAAAATTGTTTCTAGACACATGTTTAGGCGGGGAAAATTAATAACCGTCGCAAATTAACCGTCCAAAGGGACACATGTCACGTAAATAGACCTATTTGAACCGTAAGTGAAAATTGTGTCTATATACATGTTTTATGCGGGAAAAATCAATAACCGCCGCACATAAACATGCCACGTGTCCCAAAAGTTACTTATTTATTAGGGTTATATATATATATATATATTATTGATTTTTAAACAATTAATATAGATTAACAATATTGTGATTGAATTCTAAATGATATTTCCACGTCTTTTAAAAAAAATGGAACACAAACTATAAAGTAAATAAAGTAATCGTCTTCTTAAGAATGCAAGCGTTTTTAAGTATTCGTTTATTGTTACTTTTTTTTGTTTCAGCTCTAAATTTTGATAATTAATATCTTATGTTCGTTTATTAAACATGAACTCGAAACCTGAAAGGCGTTTATCGGGTGGCTGAGAATCTTTCGAGATAGAAGCGATGATGAGGATAGAGAGCTTACTTTGTTGCATACAATCTTAACCAATGAAATAAAATAGAGTGTTCGACTCTAATCAGATACACGTTCAGGTAAATGGTGCCTCATAAATGCCTCAAAATTTGCCTAAATTGTACTTGATTAATACGTTGGGGATAACTTTAGGTTTTATTTAATATTTTTGGGGTTAATTATCCCCCTTGAATTATAATTAGCGGATAATTTGAGGAAAAAAATGCGAAGGTTTGAGTTCTTTGTAGGCATCTAACTCTTTAACCGAACCCAAAGATACAGGGGTGGTGTCTGATTGGTTTGAGCTTGACTCCAAAGGTCAAAAGTACCTGGAGGTCCCAGGATCAAATCCAATGAGAAATAAAAATCCCCTTGTGGCCAAGGAGGTTCAAATATGATGACTCCGGGTTATCTGCAAAGCAGGTGGTTGCCCTGGGATTAGTCGGCTTGCATAGCGGGTTGGATATCCAGATTAATCAATATATATTATAAGGGTCCATTCAAGGGAGAACTGGCTAGTTTGTGGTAACCGTGAGAGCCAATCTCAACCACAAATCAATAGATAAATTAGGAAATTTATAATTTTGGTAATTTTTATTTAAAATTTTAATGCAAAGACATTTTAGGTATTTTCTCTCCTCTCTCCTTTTTTCTCTCTCTGTCCCCGTCCTCCGGTGATACCACAGTGTGATACTCAAGCACATATAAGCTGCATTGTGATACCACTATGTTACATATCTGATCGACCGCACAAACAACCACAGTGTGATATCCAATCACATATAAGATGCATTGTGATACCACTGTAGTATCACCGGATGACGGCGGCCGAAGGACGGTGGCCGGAGGCCGGGGGACGGAGAGAGAAGAGAGAAGATAAAAGAGAGGAGAGAAAATACCTAAAATATTCTTGCATTAAAATTTTAATTATAAATTCCTAATTTATCTATTGATTTGTGGTTAAGATTGGACCTCACGGTTACCACAAACTAATTAGTTCTCATTTGATTAGGCCCATATATATATATATATATATAGAAAGTAGTGTCCAATTGTGAAAAGCTTTCTCAAATCAAACAAATGCCGTGTAAATACATTTATATCTATCTATATATATATAACATAACTGTACAACATGATGATGCAAAATACAGCAGTCTGGTAAAGGGAATCAAAATCCAAAAAACTGGCTATAACATTAACAGATAGTAATAAAAACCTAAAACAGATGCATCACTGCATCTACTCACAAACAACCAAAACCTCAGATACCACGAAAAACAGATGTCGTTTCATAAACCCACCCGATCGTGGTCATCTGACTACTTCTTCCAACCGTACCTACTCTAAAAGAAACCTGTAAACATGAAGTTTAAGGCTCATCAGATACACACTTGGATGTGGTCCTTTGGTTAAATGACCTTCTCACAGTTTCTTTTAAATCCACGACTTTTGACAAGTTGGAGAATGGCACGAATGCCTGAAAACCTATCAGAAGGTTATGGATTTAAAAAACACTTGTAAGAAGGTCATTTAGCTAAACAACCCCACTTGTGGGTGATGCACTGCAACTATTTAGGAAGGCCCGGAGGGTGAAATCTTGCTGCCTAATTCACTAGACAATAACCCAAGTGTAACACTCAAACTCAAGACCTCTTAAGTTATACTAACAAACCCAGCTGGGTGAAACTTATATGCGTTATTAACTTGACAAGTGTTAAAGAGGTGTCCCTTGGATATAAATTTACTTTAAGGCAGCATTTGAAGTGATACCTCGGCATAGTTGATGAATTAAAGAAATCAGGACCAAACGGTGCACGACCATGAAAGTTAAAAGAATCTTTTGGTGTGATTTTTCTCAGATCCACTGCCTCCACTGCCACTGCCGCTGCCACTGCCACTGCCGCTGCCGCTGCCGCTGCCGCCATTCAGTCTCTTGTCATTGTCTCGTTTTGATCTAGGAGGAGTGGAAGGTGTCCAGCGTGAGTTTTGGATCGGATGGGTTTCAGGGTCATATTTCTGTGAAGCAAGGTAGCTCAAGGCTGTAACAACATCGGCTATAACAGGACGCATGTTAGGTTGTTCCTGGACACACATTGCTGCAACAGCAAGAGCCTGATACAAACCCCTGGCAGGATACTGGCCTTGGAGCACTGGATCTGCTATCTGGCAGAACTTCCTCCGATCTTTAAACAAAGGTCTAGCCTGATATCCATTAAGCAGAATTAGATTATGTGCTTAAAAGCATGATCAAAGATTTAAGATTATTATATGGACTTCAAAAGGACACAAAAATGTAACATTATCTAGGATGGAGAGAGAATAATATCGCAACATTTAATTGTGATCACTCATTTACCATTCCTCAAGTTAATAGCAGCACACAAAATCACATATAGACATGGACCTACCATGTTTCCAACAGATAGGTCGGAACATATTTCTTCGAAAATAGAGATTAATATGTAATGTGAATGAGTGAAAATCACTTACCCATGCAACCAAATTCTGCTCCCCTCCTGTTTTAGAATTATCTATTGCTTTCCTGCCTGTGATGATCTCCAAAAGCACAACACCAAAGCTATAGACATCTGATTTTAGAGTCAACTGTCCAGTCATGGCATACTCTGGGGCACAGTACCCATAGGTACCCATGACCCTTGTAGAAACATGTGTGTTATCCCCGACAGGCCCGAGTTTGGCTAATCCAAAATCAGATAGCTTTGGGTGGTACGATTCACCAAGCAGTATGTTGGAGCATTTTAGATCTCGATATATTACAGGTGGACTGGCTTTGTCATGTAGATACTCCAGCCCTTTAGCAGCTCCAGCAGCAATCTTCATTCTGGTATTCCAGTCAAGTCGTTTCTTACCAGGTGAGGGGTCTGCAAGGCAGGAAATATGACTCCAAACACCAAAAAGAAACCCTTGGCTTCACCAATTGAGAAGCAGTAATGCAAATGGATGATAGCTGATTTTCCTTGTATTGACAGCCAGCAGCCGCAGTAAGATAGGCATAGAGGTGGTGATATCAACATGAGTCTCTTGTAGTCATGCCACCCATGTCTTTTTTCTGACTACTGAGTCAATGCGAGGAAAATCACCAAATAATGGAAGAGTGTCTGACTTGTAAAACATTGTACTTGCCATTTCATTGCAAGCAAATCATCATTCTTGCGAAATGTAAAAAAAACACTATATTTCACAAGAATGACTATTTAGGACAAAGGTGAAAACTATGATGGATCTTTTTGCAATACATTGCACAATTTTGATAAAATCACTCAAATCTTGCAAACCAATGTGTTCTTTTAGCCTTTTCACAAGGATTATGGTTAGTTTGTAGTGAAAAGCCAAGTATGATGGTGCACAAAAGTCGATCACTCAATAGCATAAGGGTTTTTAAGGAAATGCATGTACCATGAAGATGGTCATCCAGAGATCCCAGACACATGTATTCATAAACCAGTAGTCTTTGATCTCCATCAGCACAATAACCAATCAAGTTAACCAGATGTGGGTGGTGAAGTAAACCCAACATCAACACCTCTACTAGGAATTCCCGGTTCCCTTGAAGTCCATTGCGATCCAGTTGCTTGATGGCTACAACCTACACCAATGGCCAAATATAAACACAAATGTTCACAGTTCTGACTTGGCAAAGACTACAAATCAGGTTGCTTTTAACAAAATTAGTGTTTCTTTCTTTCTCTTGTTATTCTTATTTTCTTTTGTTGTTTTGAAATGATAACACTTGCGTGAGTCATACAGAATAGGGAACAATGGACAAAGGAATATGTTAAATCATTTATTGACTATTGTGTAAAAAAAAAATCACCAGTGAATTGCCTCATGTTGACACCCATCAATGGAAGTTTCATCAGGACAACAGTCTGTGTGTTTTAGCAAGGCAGATACCTCTATTGTTGTGTAACTTTTTACGTTTTTCCAAATACAAACATAATATGGACTTTGTAGCTCAATGTTTGGCAATAGCCTTCAAATTGTAGTGGTTGCTATGATGTCAATGTACCTATAACTCGCTTTCTCCCAAAAAATGCAACACTTCTTATTTTGGATTATCTCAAAAAATGCAACTTTTTTTATAAAAGATTTCTTCACAAAATTACCTATTTGTCCATTAGCAATTATTACAAGGTGTTGGTGAGATTAATTATGGTTCACAAGTTTACTGTATTGTGACGTAAAAGGGGGATTTTAGGTATTTGCTCATTAAGAAAAAAGGACTTCGAATAAACTGTGCGCCAAATCAAATGTTCTATAATTTTTTGGGACTAAGCGATGATTAGTTTCTGAACGAGTAGATAATCCACAATAATGTTAAAGTTGAAACGTGACCAAACTGATTATTCAACGTCAAATTGCATCTTTTTCAAAATGGTGTGTGTGTGTTAAAGTAATAAGAGGATTGAAACTGAACTAACCTGACTTGAACTTTCAAGTCGCCCTTTATATACTCTACCAAAACCTCCTTCTCCAAGAAGACAATCACCCCTGAAATTTTTAGTTGCAGCTGCCAATTCACGAAATGTGAATGTTTGAGCAGCAATATGATCTGATCCCCCATCTTTGATCACGTCCTTCGTTTTGAACAATGGATTTGACCTAATACTCTCTAAAACACATATGTAAGAAACAAAGAACAAGAAACCATTAAACAAAAGAGCAAACATAGTCAAACAAGAAAATACTGAATCTGCACAATCCATTTCGACATGGAAGTGAAGTTACTTGTTTCATCATAAAAGCACAACAATTGATCAAGAATACACTAGAAGCAAGTCAAAAGGTTGCAACAATAAATTGAGAGTGCCCAAATACAATATCTCAAAGAGACCACAAGGCTAACCCCCAAGGTAATTTTCTGGGACTTGGTGTCTCATGAAACATCTCGGTTTGCAATTCAAATCCCACTGGACATTATCAACTCCTTTCCGGAGGGGCTAAAGTTTATTTGGAAATTTGAAGGGGAAGCTTTTTGCATGGACCACATAACTAATCAGGAAAAATGACGCGTTACTAAAAGAAAACATAAATTAAAAATAAACTGCTTAAAGAAAAATCTTGAAGATATAGCTCAAGAGTCAAAAAGATGATCAATCCTGTTCTAGAACCTATCAAATTCGGTGTAACAGTTGAGTCCACATGTGACATGTATAAAGAGTAGCTCAATATTTCTAGTTGCTTTGCTTCAATATTTGATCACTTGCACACACACAAAATGGAAGAAAAAATAATAGTTGAAAAAAGAAACCTTTAGGAACTCGATTTCTTCGACGATGCACACGTCTAATATAAGATTCGAAATTACCTAATCCTAAAAACCTAATAACACAAATTCAAATACTGAATCAAAAGCAGCAGTAAGAATCAGATGGTATAATCCCTTCTTTGAAGTAAACAATCAGATAAGTTAACAAGGTGTATCAAATCAAAGGCTTAGCAGAAAACATCAAATGGCTGTTGAAATTTGAGGCGATTTTGATAGCAAAAAAGGTGGAAAAGGAAATCTGGGAAGAGACGGAGCACCTGAAGATGGTTGAATCGGATCGAGCGAGCGATTCTTCTTCCTCTTCTTCTTTGCCGTTGGCTTGGATTGGCCAGAGCATGGAAACCATCCCATTCTCTCTCCTCTTCTCCGACAGTTGTAAACGAGAGTAGTCAACAGCTCAATAAGAGAGAGAGAGAGAGAGAGAGTAGAGATTTTATTGGTAAATCTCCGATTCGGAAAAAAATGATGGCAGAAAAAGTTTGCCCTTCTAAATATTATAAATAAATAATAAAATAAACAATTTTGATAAAAATTCAAACAGTCTTTTAAAATCACAACTATATCATGTATCATATTTTTGTTACACCCAATTTCTACTTCTTGAACAACCTAAACAGTAAGTACCACCTTTATTTCGAGATAAAAAGAAATTCAATTTGATAAAAGTCTTAAAAACAACCTTAAATGCATAAGATATTGTTTCTTTATGTATAAAATCTTAATTACAAATCGTTTATGCATATGATACGACTCAACAATGTTTTACCTTTTACAACTCATACGTTTAAGTTTTATTTTTTCCATATTATTAGTTTTGGTTTCCAATAGACATTAAAAATTTAAACCATTTATTATTTTCAAATTTTGACTCTTTATGTTCCCAAGATTTTCATCTTACCAACAAAAACTCTCTTACCATTTCAAATTTCAAATATAAAGCTCAGATTTTCATAATTCACGATTGATTTTTCTCAATCACCTCTATTGCCTTAGCTACATTCTTCCTTGCCTCCGTCGTTCCTCATCGTCTCTCCTCCGGTCGACTGACACCCTTACAACTTCCACACGTTTTTATACTTGTATAAAGGACTTCCTTTGGTTTTTCATTTTACTACTAGGGTTTAAGCTAGCTGCTTATTTTAAAGATTCGCATTTCGGAGTTTCGGATCTACATTTACAGTATTTGTATACATTAACAAACTCATTTGCTTTTAAGGGTTTCTTTGATTCAATATATTCGAGATGAGTTGTGATTTGGATCAAGTATCTTGCTCCACTGCTCCAGTCCTTGGCAAATGCTTGTATCTTGCTCCACCGCTCCAGTCATTCGGGTTGTGATTAAAGGTTTATGAATAATTTGTAGAACCTACTAACACCAGCATTTTGGATGGACGTACATTTGAATCTAAATTAGATACAAATATAGTAGACTTTGTTACATCTTTAAGGAATTTGATATCTCAAAATTGAATAATCTTAATGAATTTTTTACATTCTGTTGCATTGTACGGATAGACAACTAGTATACTAAAATACGAATTTTAATATCCTATTTGTTTATAAGAATGACCATTATGACATCATATTTATTTTTAGTAAATACACTATGATTTTGTTAATTCTCTATTTTTTTATTAATTGTTTGATATTTATATATAAAGGGACACGTTCAAATGAAAAAACGTGTATTTCTAAGAAACCATGTAAACCAATTTCGACTAATAGGAAAATTCCATTTTTTTCTAATTAAAATTAATCAATAAGAGTATTTCAGTCATTTACAATATTTTCTATTAAATATGAAAGTTATTAATAAATCTTAATTAAGGAAATGTAATAAAAGAAATTGTATAAATGGTAACATTTAAATATTTAATTATATTATAATATTAAAAATTTGAATTTCATATATTGTAATATTTAAGAATCAGCAAACGAGTCTTGATGAAACAATTGAAGTGTATAATGAAATCATCAAATCGTAGATGAACAAAAAAAAAATCCAGAAATGAAACAGGTTTCATGAACGTGAAATTGGTTCATGTTGCAAATAAATTATGTGAACCGAAACATTTTCATGGTGAACCTGTTGCATTGATTGTGTAGTTGATCCATTTAGTTGGTGAAGAGGAAAATGAAACCGGTGCATTTTGTATTTGATGCGTCATGAACTAAGTGCATGATGAAACGAGGAAATGATTTTAATTTGCTACAGAACCTTGAAGATTGTAACATGCTCCAGAATCTTGAAGATTGTAAGGCTTAAAAGAATGAATCCATCAAATCAGTGGTGAAATAAGAAAATTACTGTACATGAAATAAGTTTCATGAAAGTGAAACTGGTTCATGGCGTTCTTAAGCATGACTAGTGAAACGATTGCATAATGTATTTGGTTCGTCATGAAATAATTGAATGATGAAACGGGTACATGAAGAAACTGCTCCAGAATCTTGAAGATTGTAATATGCTTTAGAATCTTTAAGATTGCAAGGCTTAAAGGAATTAATGCATCAAACCAGGAACGAAAGGAAGAAAATAAATTTGCATGGAAAAAGATTCATGAAAGATCGAATAGGATGTTACCAAATATTAAATTTTGTTTACCATTTATGCCCTTACTGTTGATATAAAATAAAATTTTAATATATATTTTTATTTAATTTCTTAAAATATAGTAAACTAATTTTGGCCATTGATCAAGAAAATTGATGTATGAGATTGGTTTACACGGTTTACATAAATTGGGCCGGTTTTTATTTGAACGCTCCTCTATATATAAGAGCAGGTTCAAACGAGAAGTTGAATATATATGATTACACACATTATACACAAGCTCAATCATATATGATTAAACATATGTTACATTTACAATAAATATATGTTTAATTATATATGATTAAACACTTCTCCCATGATCCTCCTTCTATAAGTGACATGTTCATATGGTAGGGTAGGGTTCACATGAGACCAGTCTTTTTTTTCATGAGACCCGTAAGATCACGAAACAACAATGAAACTTTATAGCAGAACAATTTGAAGGTACAAAAAAACACCGAAACTTCAAAGCGAAAACAATGTAAAGATTTTTTCCTTCATGGTGTTTTTGTTGTAAATGTTCAATGTTATATATGTGATCTCAAGTGTCTTACAAAAACAACATAATTTTCACACGATCCCAAGTCTATATTCATATTTTAAATGTAAAAACATATAAAACCCATTTCAATGAAAAGTCAGTGTATCTATTGCAAAATATAAAACAAAAAAAAATGAGGTATGCAAAACAAGCCCTTTTCATCAAAAAAGGACATAAGATCAAAGTTAAAACCATATTGAAATAAGGTTATGTTTGACAAACTAGTTGATAACTGATAAACTAGTTGATGAACAAATTATGTTTGGTAAAAACTAGTTTATAAACATGTAAAATAGATCAAAAATAACATATTAAAATTTTTAATCAATTACAATTTTTCATTATATAAATTAAAACAAATCTCTAAAGATATAATATGTTAATTAATACGAAAAAATTGATAAAAAATATAATATGTTGAAA